AGGAGGATATGTTTTACCCCGCGGAGTAGAAGCGTCTCATTTTGAGCGGCAAACCCGCTGTGGGTTTCGGGGTCGGCCCTGTGGGACCATCCTGGGCCTTCCCCTCTCCGCTGCTGCTGCCTTCCCTGCTCCCTCCCGAGGTACGATGATGAGGGGGGGAGCTCGCCATTCATGGCTCGCAGTGGCGCTGGGGATAAGGAGGTGCGCGCAGTCGTCGTCGTCGTCGTCGTCGTCGTCGTCGTCGTCGTCGTCGTCGTCGTCGTCGTCGTCGTCGTCGTCGTCGTCGTCGTCGGTTTCGTCGTCGTCGTCGTCGGTTTCGTCGTCGTCGTCGTCGTCGTCGTCGTCGTCGTCGTCCTCGTCGTCGTCGTCGTCGTCGTCGTCGTCGTCTCTCTCTCTCTCTGTCTCTCTCGCTCTCCATCCATTGCGCTTGCCTGGTGCTTACATATAAATAAGCTATACGTTCTTGGAACTTGGCCGCCGTCATACGGGAGCCGACGTCTTCAAGCAACTAGGGCTTGGCTCTGTCCCAGAGGCCACTCCATCCCTTAAATCAGATTGGCCGAATCAGTGCGGTGCACTGCAACTGAGATGGCCAATTCAGGCGAGCTTGAAGCTGGCCTCGAAGCCATCGTCTCCGAGACGTCTGTTGACACGGAGGGATCAAACCTGATTGCTAGACAGCAGCAGGTGGAGTGCGGACAAATCGTGCCAGTAGACCGTATCCCTGGTAATGATAAGGATATCCCACCACGAGCCACTGAAAGAACTGATGCGTTGGGCAACCCGCCGCTGGCACGGCAAGATTCCGCATGGGATCCGCCGAAGGAAAGTTAAGCCCTTATCCTGTGCCGAAGCACGGGACAGAGGCTCCAGCTAGCAAAACGGCAGAGCCAAGGGCCCTCTACCCTTTCGACCAGGTGCGACGCGTACCACCACGTGATGTGGAGCAACAACTTGCCGCGAGCGGGGCTGCCAGGATGGTCTACAGCAGCCGCCGCCGAAAAGGCAAGATCGATCCCAACTGCCGAATTGGTCCAGGCACTGGGCCAATCAATCGCCAACGCGCAACAGCGAGCAAAGCAGAACATGCTCAAACAGCCGCACGGGGCCGCCCCCCCACAGGCTGGGGTCGTCCTGCGTGGAGGTTTGCAGGCCCCCCCCCCACGCGCAGCGAGCTCAGCGTGTGGGGACCCACGGGCCCGTGAGGTCGGCGCTCAGGGGCCTCGCGTGAGGCTCCGCGGGGGCCCCGCTGGCGGCCGCCAAGCAGCTTGGCGTCGCTCGGACCTGTGCATGTTTCCTTCGACGAGGACCATCGAGGAGCATCCTTGTGATCATTTGGGGAAAAAAAGCCCACGCACGAAGCCGAGCAAAAACACGGGGAATGGACGTCCGAGCGCTGGCCAGGAAGGCGCCGGAGAGAGACCGGGAGACGGGCGACGGCGACCTGCGCAGCAGTGCGCCGCCCCTCGGCAGCCGTGCGCCGGCGCTCGGAGGGCTGGGCGCCCCGTGGCGGCGGCTCGCCACAGGCGAAGCCCTGCCACGGGAGGCACCCTCGCCGCCCGCGGCAGCTCGCCCCTGCAGGGGATACGTTAGGGGGGGGGAGAGGAGGGGGAGGAGGAGGAGGAGGAGGAGGAGGAGGAGGAGGAGGAGGAGGAGGAGGAGGGAGGAGGAGGAGGAGGAAGGAGGGAGGGAGGCGGAGGGAGGAGGAGGAGGAGGGAGGAGGAGGAGGAGGAGGAGGAGGAGGAGAGGAGGGATGAGGAGGAGGAGGAGGAGGAGGGAGAGGAGGAGGGGCGCGGGGGACACCGAGCCGGAGTCGGCCACACGTCGCCGACGCATCGCATCGGCCACACACCGCACCGGGGAGGACGCGCATCGCGCCCCGCCCCCCCCCGCAGTGCCGAATCGTCGCCGCTGGGGGCCCGGCAGCCCGCCTTTTCCGCCCGGGAGCGTGCGGGCTGCTGGCGTCGGAGGCGACGTGTGGCCGCTCCGTCGGCGACGCGTGGCCGCTGCCGGCTCGGTGTCCCCCCGCGCGCCTCCCCTTCCCTTGGGCCGGCTGTCGGAGGCGACGTGTGGCCGCTCCGTCGGCGACGTGTGGCCGATGCCGGCTCGGTGTCCCCCCGCGCGCCTCCCCTTCCCTGGGCTGGCTCCCCCCTAACATTAAATCGGGCGTGTCCCTCGACAGGGGGAGTATTCAAAAGTAGTCAAATAAATAGTCTGGGGGCGATTTCTCGATCATTTTTTGATCATGTTTTTAGAGTATTTTTCATTTTGCGTCCCAAATCCACCTGTAGGGGGACAGGCCCGACCTAAACCTAACGCTTCCCCTCAGACACCCCCTGCGGAGGCAGGCGTCGTTGCCACCTCTAGGGAGGAAGCAAGCTGACCATTGATCAGGATTCGGAGAAGAACACGTGCATACGCAGAAACTTTCGGAACTCCGCGCGGTTCTCTCGGATCAGCGCTGAGCCCCTGCGGCGCCTGCGGCGCCGCCGTTGACGCGCTCCACGCAGGGAAGGGGAGCCCAGAGCCGATCCAAGAATTCCGCGCGCTCCCTTCCCTCGCAGGCTGCCGCTGGAGATCCTGCCGTCGCCGATCTTGCCCATGGCCCGTGCCAGCTGCCGCCGACCCGCGGCGACGGCCCACGGAGATCGACGGCGACCGAGCGGAGCGGCGGCCGAGATCGGCGCCGACGCCGTGCCGCCTTCCGTCCTGGCCCTGGCCGCCGCTCTCCTCCCCTCCGCCGGCGCAGCACAAAGGCTACTCTCGGCACTTACAGTCCCTGGATTCGGTCAAGTCGTTTGCAAAAAGATCTATCTCACTCCCAAGGGTGGAGATTCAGATTAAGCACGAGACCTTTCACGGTAATAGCGCTCGTATGCAACAGGGCCGAGACCTAGTGCTTGTCGCCGCCGTGCCCTCGCCGCGGCCTCCCCTCCGCGGGCGGCGCGTGCGCCGCCCGCGCCCCGCCAGCAGCTCCCCGGCGGGCTGGCGGGCGCACGGCCTCGCCGCCTGCGGCGGCGGCCTTCGTCACGGGCGCGTCGGCCCGCGGGCGGGCCGCAGCGCCGCTCCCGCGGGCCCGCGCCGCCGAGCGGGAGGCGGGCCTGGAAGCATCCGTGGGCTCCTCCTCCGTTTCCTCCTCCTCCCTCCTTCCTCCTCCTCCTCCTCCTCCTCCTCCCTCCTCCTCCTCCTCTTCCTCCTCCTTCTCCGTCGCCATTTTGGCTCAAACCATTATGGCTCAAGGTTTTGGTTTCCCAGCGGAAACAAGTGGATACCGCTAGTCCGCGGCCAGTGTTCAGTTTCTTTCATCGCACCGCTGCGTGAGCCGCCCAGGCGACGCAGCATCTCTCCCAAAGTGCTCACGTGCTGCGCGGTGTGACATGGCCAATCTTGACGTCTGGCTTCTCACGGCTCTGGGGCAGCTGCCCGTCGGGCAGGGGCGCAGGCCTGGCACTGCCGCTGGTGTGTGCACCCCAAGACAGGCGAGAAGTGGTGGAACAAGGCAGAGTTTCTCTCGTGTTCGATGTGTTCGTGCGCTAAAGGGGTCGCCTTCGGTGGCAACAAGGCGCCTGCGCTGCCCAGCACTCACGCCAAGCCGCCGCTGCCCAAGTCCAAGGACGCCGACGCCAAGAAGGAGTTCCGTGCCGAGGACCTTGAGATCATTCGCCTCAAGGCCCAGCTCCAGGCGGCAGGTGCGAGCGCAGCAGCCAGCCAGGAACCGCTC